TTCTTTTGGTACCTCCTACACATTATTAAAAACAAAACACAAAAAAGGAGAACTGTAAACTTCAGGTAAATCCAAGTAAAAGCATAAAAATTCTACTTACGTATAACCTGAATGAGGTTTTGTTTAGTTTGTGAAATCTGGATGTAACTATATATTGCTCAGTCTTCAATCATTCTTCACAATGATAATATTATGCCATACCTATGCATATCAGCCAGTTTGGACAAGACACGAGCAGCATTACTAAAGCTTCTGTTCTTCTCATAATACCTCCAGAGTAAATCCATATAACGGACTTTGTTTTGATCAACTTTGGCCATTCGGACTAGATGTGGCTCCAGAAATGGAGAAGCGACCTGGAAATTGTACAGTTATTCAGAAAATTTTTCTGAACACTTAATTACTTTTTAAGTAGAAAATACAATAAAGACAACTACAACTGTGCCTTGTTTTATGAAAACAAGTAAAAGTATAAGCCAACATTAATAGATAAAAAAGAAAGTAATTTTTCCCATCATAACTGTTTTATCACAATTAATGGAAGACTCTATGAGTTACATTAGGTGGATAAAAATAATTTACTATAAAATTACAAGTTTATTAATAAACTTTGAGAACACAGCTATTTATTAATTCCTAGACTCTGAGCTCAAAGGCATTCTTAAAATTCTCAGATACCATGCATTCATTTCATAGACTAAGGAACACTGAACTAAGGGTAGTAAAAGGACAAGTTGAAAGTCACACAGTAACTTAATGGCAGAGCTAAGATGAAGTTCAGGTTTCTTAATTCATAATCCAGTGTTTTCTACCCCACAATATAAACTGTCCCAATCAGCTTCTAAATAACAAGAGGGGAGCAATGGTCTACTTTGCCCTTAGGAAGAGAAATTGCATTGCTTAGTTTTATACTAACATCTAATGGTAGGCACAGGATGAGAAACTGTATTTCCTACAGTTATGCATGTGCTTAAATCATTGTTATGCTTTAAAAATATAAATTATGCTTAAAAATATAAATTAACAATACTGCAATAAAAAAATTTTTTTTTACCTGTAGCAGTTTATCTGCAAGGTCAGCCTGTATTAGCCAATTATAAAGGGCAATACTAAAGAGCTCATCTTTGGATCGCTGAGCCAATTTAAGCATTTGTTCAAACTAAAATAAAGAAAACAGTAAAAATTAGCATAGTTAAATGCTCTGTTGCTGGGTATCACAACCTCTTAGACCTATAAACCCCTGATAAGAAATCAAGAATCCTTAAATGGTAACTTCTAAGAACTACAGCCTTTCCCAACATGATTATGCCACCACTACCATGCAGAACTTTAAAACAGTGTATTCTCAGAATAAAAATATGCTATATCCCTTACATGATGTCCTGCTTCTTCATTACTCAGCATATTGGGATCGGATGACAACACTGGAGGACCAGGTTTTTTGGGTACGCTGGGAGACTGAGGAGCAGCCTTACTTTGATTTACCAGTTCTTGAAGTGTATCTGTAATGCACTTGTAACTGTTTAATCTGAAAAAGAATGGAAAAGAGGCAATTACATTATTTAACTAGAAAGCAATTTACCCTACCTAATTTAAACATATGCAAGAATCTGAGAATCTTTTGGAGAATACATGTACGTATTTGGTATTAAAAATAATATAAATCATGTACTTTTTAAATAGGTTTGAGAAGTGCTTAGTGACCTGAAAGGGTAAAGCTATAAAAATGCATTAACAAAAAACATGTTTTATACAGGTTATATATTTCCTTTATGGACATATACTTTTCTCTCTTCTATAGTCTCTACAACTGAGTGCAGAGGCTCACACCTATAATATCAGCACTTTGGGAGGCCAAGGTGGGAGGATCGCTTGAGGCCAGGAGTTCAAGATCAGCCTGGGCAACACAGAGAGACCCTGTCTCCACAAAAAGTATAAAAATTAACTGGGCGTGGTGGCATGTGCCTTGTAGTCCCAGCTACTTGGGAGGCTGATGTAGGAGGATCCCTTCAGCCCAGGAATTTGAGGTTGTAGTGAGCTATGATGCGCTCTAGCCCAAGTGACAGAGCGAGACTCTGTCTCCCAAAAAAAAAAAGGGTATAAACTTTTGAATTTTAAAAATTATCCTTTAAAATAAAATACTAATTGTCACCCAGAGGCAAAAATTGCAAAAAACCCAAAAAGCTAGTTTTGTTTTCAGATAAGTGATCCTATTAAAAAATACATAGGTCAAAGAAGAAATAATAAAAGTCAGAGACTATTTGAAAATTATTAAAATGGGAGACCCTGTCTCCACAAAAAGTATAAAAATTAACTGGGCGTGGTGGCATGTGCCTTGTAGTTCCAGCTACTTGGGAGGCTGATGTAGGAGGATCCCTTCAGCCCAGGAATTTGAGGTTATAGTGAGCTATGATGCCCTCTAGCCCAAGTGACAGAGTGAGACTCTGTCTCCCAAAAA